ACAACTGGACATCAAATCAACTCATTTTCAGGCCATTAAAAGGAATGGGAGGGATGGTGCATGGCATTTTTAAAACTTTAAAAACATACCATCATCATTATCATCATCATCATCATCATCATCATCACCATCATCATCATTAACTTTGCCTTTTATGAAGATGGCAAGAAGGTCTGTCTTAGTCTCATTTCCCAGGTGTTCTAGCCATTCTCAAAGAGGCTAGCCTATTTTTTTTTGTTAGGTTTAGAATTTAACTCAAATGCCCCAATAGGGACATAATTAACTGCTTCCTCCCAGAGTCTAGGAAAATAAAAACAACACTGATTTCATAATAAGAGTTTCCAGTTATTTTACATTGATTATTATGTTGAGTATAAGCAAATGCTTCTATGAAGTAGGACCAAGCATTCTCAAATAAGCCAGATAGACTGTAAAAACTCCCATATGCAAATATGAAGACTTTGTTAAGCCTCCTCACTTTTTAACAAGTTTTGATAGACATGGTTTGAGTTACAATAGACAAGTAGAATATAACTGAGATAATGTCTATGTGGTAAACATCATTTCTTATTTGAGATGCAAACTACAGTTCCTGGAAGAACCTTACAGAGATCAGGGGAACCTTCAGAAGCAGCAGTAGAAGTCAGATGACAGCTTCTTGTGGAATGCAACGTGTGTGAGAAGAAAATGTGTACATTTCTGGTTCTGGAAGCACCTAGAAATTGCTTTGTCTCAGAGGAAGGTCCAGAAAATAAAAAACAATTTAAACAGAGTGAGAATGAAAGTCATGTGATTTTTCCTTCTATAGCTTTGCTCCCCTGTGTTAATAGAGTTCTGCTGAGTTCAGTGTGATATATGAGAAAGCGAGGAAATGAATCTATAATTTATTTTCTAAATTAATTATTGACTTAAGAGAGAGAAAGAGTGATAGAGAGAGATTGATTTGTTGTTACACTTATTTATGAATTCATTGGTTGCTTCCTCTATATGCCCTGACTGGGGATTGATCCTGCAACCTTGGTGTATTGGGACGATGCTCAAACCAACTGAGCTACCTAGCCTCAAATCTATAATTTTTGAAAGCTGATTGCAGGTCGTGAGAAATGCAGACTTATATGAATGCTGTTCTGGTCAGTCTGGGGCTACTTTCAGGGATGGCATCAGGGGCTCAGCAACCTCAGCATGTCAGGACACAGGTCGCCCCAGCCATGCCTCCCACATCACTGGTGTGTGGATGATACATGAGGGCAGACTAATGAAGAGCTTCTGTTTCACTGGTTATATGTCGCTTTAATGCATATTGGCTGCTTTTTAAACTAATACTTCAAAGCTGTGATTTTACTTACATTCATTACTTCTGAAGAGAAAGATAGGCTTAAAAAGTGACTTAGGAGTTGGTTTAATTAGAAAAATTAAATAACTAATCATACAGGTAGGACTTGGAAATGACAACAAGTATGAAGCGGTATATTAATGGCTGAAGTCTAGAAAACAATGCAGAAGATTGTTTTCTTCTTATCCCATTGTTTTGATAGCGTCTTTGCTGAGATCTTTGCTATTTGGTTCCATTTACAAAATACTTTCATGGTTAAGGCAGAAAATTCAGAAACACAGAAAAGCACAAATGAAAATAATAGAAACCAACCACAATGCTACCCCTAAAAACAAGCAGTTAGGATTTTGTTTTTCACCATCCAATTCTTTAGCCATAAAAGTAAAATCAAGCCTTCATACTCTGTGTCATAGTCTGGTTTTCCATTTTAAAAGAGCCAGCGAATGTTTCCCATGTGGTAAGCTTCCTTCTTCAACAACTATTTTTCTGGCTGAAAAGTATTCTTTTATGTGGTTAACTCAACACTCTTGTACACACCTCGGAGTATTTGCTTATAACCAGTTCCTAGAGGTAGAACTGCTAGGTCAACAGGTTTGCCCTTTACAAATGTGCTTGGCTGAAAATTAACAGATTCCTCTACAAAAAGGTAAAATAATAAATTATTCCAATAGTTGGTGATGAGAATATCTATTTCAAAACATTTGCAATGTGTTATCATTACCACTGTTATCTATTTTTAAAAATACTTGTATTATTTGTCAATATACTTACATAACTCAGATTATTAAAGACATGGAACATACAATTAATCAGATATTTAAAATTCATTTAGTTTTTGTGTGAATTACCTGCATATGCCCTTTATCTTAATTTCTAGTGATGTGAAGCCCTGATGTAATAATCAGACTTAGGTGTGAGACTAGAATATAGTACTAAATGCCATAAGTATTCCTGTCCCAAGAAGTACTGTACGTTTCTCACAATTCTCTTTTAGCTAAAGACAATCATTATTCTTGGGAGAGAGGCCATTATTTTTTCTTGTATTTTTTTCTAACTCATGGGAAAGATTTTGAAAATATGAGTCAAATTAATTCATTTTTTAGGAGAATACAACAAACTATGGTCTACCCACATAGCCCTATTCAACAAGTTCAAAACTACTGAGATAAGAAATGGCATAGCAATGGATTCATTCCAATGATGCTGACATTTGAGCAAGAACTGAAAACATGCATAACACACTGTTGCAATTAGAAGGAAAGTTAATCCCTAGGATAACTGTTTGCCTGTCAGGGTTAGGAGCACTTGACTCTCTCTGTAATTTCTAATCTTACTTATCACCTGGGTGGGTGATTGTCAATCTTTCTGGAGCTCTGACAACCCACCTCCTTGTGGTGGAGAAGGTAGCAGTGGAGTTAGTGGTGGTGCTAGATGGTAATACCACCTGCCTACACCATGAGGGATGCAGTAATATTTTAAATTAAAAAACAATTTAATTTTATATTGAGGAGAATTTTAAAATACTTCTTGACCCATCAATGAAACCCTCTACCTTTGGGTTGGCAATCAGTGTTCTGAATTAATGTGGCCGAGGAGAAAACAGGATGTCAGAAAATCTTTAAATGTAATATACATATTATATTATGAAATGCTAAATAGATTCCTACTTACTAACATACCCAGAAAGTTCTGGGTAAGCCATAGGATGGACAAGACCTATTTACCAAAATAATCTGCTGTCATCCATTTATTAATTCAGTAGGCAATTATTGATCACTTACTATGTGCAAGAATTGTTTCATGTACTGAAAATATTAGCAAACAATGAAAAGGTGAATGAGGCTAACTGTCTGGTGAAAAATGAGCAGGGAGAGGAAAACAGATAATAAACAGGCAAAAATGGATGAATAAGAAATGGAAAGTAGTGGTAAGGCGATGATGGAAATAGGACCGAGGTCTAGGATGGTGTGACTCGGTGAGGTGTGAGGCAAGGGAGAACTTTAGATGGGTGGCCTTGGAAGGTCTCTTGGAGAAGTTGGCATTTAAGCTGTGCCAGTGTGCAAAGGTGTTGGCAAGAGCATTGTAAGCTGAGGGGAGAGCAAATGCAAAGGCCCAGACGAATGTGAAGTGCTAGGGAAATGGGAAGGCCGGTGAGTAAGCATGTGGGGAAAGTGGTGTGAGCAGCCCTGGCTCATGTACTGCCTCAAGCCTTAGAGAGGAGTTGCGGTGCCTTCTACGGGTGATAGGATGCCACTGGAAGGTTTGGGGACAGGACTGGCATGATCCAGAAGATCACTCCAGCTGTGTTTGGTGGATGCGTTACCATGGGCAAGGGAGGAGGCTGTATTACCAGTTGGGTAGACACTGTGGTTGTCCAGGCAAGAGATGTTGGTGCCTTGAACTAGGAGGTAGCCACGGAGGCAATAAAAAGTAAGCCTCAACATCCTGTAGCTCTTATGTCAATCATCTGTGGCACTGTTCTGATACTGCATTGACTTTTGGTCTCTTCCGGTGGACTACAATATATTTTAACCACTACCATTTATAAAGTGCCCCGTGCTGCTCTGGGCTTTATACACATTGATTCCTTATAATAATTCCATCCCAAGCTCACGTGTGGGGAGGTTAACTATCTCCCTACAGCCATAAGCTAGTGAGGGGGTCATATTAAGATTTACCAAGGTCTGTGTGATTCTGTGCAAGGCATAAATCTTAGCCAATATGCTAGTGTCTCCATTTAACCTACCTTAGGGACAGCATTGGCGCAGGTGAACCAGGCCATGGCTCAGTTTCTCTAATGGTTCTCAGAAGGAGAAGGCAGCAAAATAACCATGGAGGGGGGCTTGTGTTTAGAATGCAGATGCCATGGCCCTGCCCTGAGAATGCAGAAGCAGCATTTCTAGGGCTGGGGCTTGGACGTGTGCATTTAACAAACACTCCCAAGTGCCAATCACTAAAATCTGCAGAGATTGCAAAGCTGCCACTCAATAAATATTGGTTGTATGAATGCAGGAATATAATGGAGAGGTTTGCAGGAAATGAAGATCTAGGATAAGTACCTCACTCTCCCAACCCCCGATCCAGAGAAAACAGAAGCCCATTTTGAGCTGGGCCCAAGCAGAGCCTCAGCTAGCCCCTTCAGATCCATGCAGAAGTTACTGATGTAACTAGCACAGCGGCCTGGCATACTCAGGCCTCTGGAAGCTTTCTATTGCAAATAATTACTCTTGATGACCAGGTGGGAGGTCCATGGTCTCTCTAGCTGAGGAAGTACAAGCTCCTCAAAAGGATTGTTTTAAAAGCAAAACAATCTTTTCTTAAAAATCAATTAATTTGATCTTGTTGAATTTCTGACACATGGGAGCTAGGTCTTACTCATAGGGCTGATTCACCCTTAGATACAATAAGCATAGTACCCAAGGCCCATGAGACTTCTAGGGGCTCGCAAAATGTTTTAATTCCTTTTAAAATCAGAAGAAAACCATCCTATCCTGTTTTAGCCTGAATTACATTCAATTTTTACCAATGCAGTTGTAAAATATAGTTCTTAATATGTTTTTTTTTAATCAAGAAATGGCCCAAGAAAGCAATGGTGTCTAGAGCACACGGAAGTCATCACGTGGCCCTGCTTACTCACCACTCTGCGCCCAGGTGATAGGCAGCTTACCTGGCAGGCGTTGTACAAGAGCTGATGTTCAAACTTCTTGATCCCTAGAATGTTCTGGAACATCTCGTAGAGTTGCTCTTTGCTCAGAATCAGCTCAGAGGCTGCGCTGGCGGTCATCCGGGCCTGCTGCTTCCTGGGGTCCTCTTCCCCGCGGTAGATGGCATCGAACTTGGCCATCCAGGAGCTCAGCACGGTCTCCTTGCTGAGGCCATCGATCTCGGGGAGGCTGCGCACCCTCTTCTCGATGTGCTTCTTGAAGACCTCCCGAGAGTCGTTGGCGGAGCAGCCCCCACTCTGCACCATGCGGGCCACGCGGTCGCTCTTCAGGAACACCTGAGCGAGAACAGGGCCAGGAAAGACATCAGAAAGTCTGTCCTGGAGACCAGCTCACAGGCATCACAGGAGGCCCGTGTGGTCACAGCCCCACCATCTCTTAGCTGTGCAAACTCAGAAGTCACACGTTTGGCTTGGGGTCCAAATGTGGAAAATGAGAATAATAACAGTACTTAACAGTATTTAGCAAGGATCAGTGAGACAGTGACATTCTGGGAGGCAGCATAAGGCATATAGACCCTGAGCTCAGGCTGCCTGGGTTCTTTCTCTGATATTTAGTGGCTATGTTTCTTTCAGCAAGTTAATCTCTTGTACCTCAGTTTTCTCATCTCTACTGGGGATAATAGTTCTCTCTACGTCACAGGTATTTTAAAATGAGGATTAAGCCCTAACCGGTTTGGCTGAGTTGATAGAGCATCGGACTGCGGACTCAAGGGTCCCAGGTTCGATTCTGGTCAAGGGCATGTACCTTGGTTGCGGGCACATCCCCAGTGGGGAGTTGCAGGAGGCAGCTGATGGATGTTTCTCTCTCTCGCTCATCGATGTTTCTCTCTGTGAAAAACCAATAAAATATATATTAAAAAAATAAAATAAAATGAGGATTAAATGAGTTAATATATGATAAGCACTTTTAAAAATAACCCATATTAATGCCTAATGGGTTGTGGTTGTTGTTATTATAATAATATGTAAAGCAGTTGGCCCGATGTCCCCACATAGCACTTAAATGTTAACCACTACTTACAGCTCATTTTAGCCTCTCAGTGATCCTGATCACAGTTGAAACGGAACAAGTATTAAGCAAATCTGTATTTAATGTCCGTCTCCCTTGCCAAAATGTAAACGCCTTGTGCGCAAGGACTGTGTCCTTCTTGTTCCCCCAATGTCATGTGTCCCCAGTACGGAACTGGGCACTTTGAGAGTAAGTGAACATAGAAAGCAGGTGTTACATTAAGTCCATTTTGCAGACAGAAAACTGAGACTCCAGGGAGGGGAAGGGACTTGCTTTGGTAACTCACACCGGCTGACTATAAATGCACGGCCTTGTGGTTCCTTCCTTCCCTAAGGGGCTCCCCTGCCTGATGGGGAACCCTGGGTTGTTCTGTTGGTGCTGCCTGGGTCTTGGGGCCGAGACACTCATTAAGATCAGTTTGCTCTAACTCCAGGGCCCAGCACAGCCACATGGTTCTGGGGTGCAGACAAAGTGGAGAAGCGGCTGCTTCCTATCCATGGGGGTGGGGGGGGTGGGGGGAGGAACACCTCCTGACGTCTGTGAGCTGTGTCCCGGTCACCCTTTAGAGGAGCATACGTGCCTTGTCAGAGGCAGAACAAACATTCGCTCCTCATCTGGGTCAGGAATCGCCCTTATTGGCCACGAGTTGGCATCGCTTGGGGCGCGTTTCATCGCTGCCACTTCATCACCAGGGCTCCCTTGGTGGCGAGCTGTCAGCCAGGGGGCCTGCGCTCACTGTGCGTGACTCCGTGCTCTCACTTAGAAAGGAGGGCTGCGGGCTTACTTCATGGGCTAGAGGCCGTGGCCCACTCGCCTGCACCTCAGCACTGGTCCTCAGCTGAGACCTTAGAGTTCATTTAAAAATCAACTTTAGAAAAAATATTCAAATGAGTCCTTAGGCCTTATAACCCATAAGGAGCTGAAGAATTCACCTGAAACTCTGTAATGGTTAATACAGATGGTTTCTCCAACTAACACACAGTGTCTCGGTTTTAGATCTAGATTTCAAAGAACTTACGAATTTTGAGTCAAATAGAGAAATTTTGTGGGGAGACAGGAGCTGTAAACCATGGTCCCAGGCCAGTTCTGCCACTAGCCTGCTGTGTGACATTGGGTGAGTCACCTCCCCTCTCTGAATCTCCAGTTACTAATCTGTACACTGATGGAGTTGAACTATATTATCTGGGGGGTTTTCCTTCCAGCTGTGATATCTACACTCTTCTTTATGAACCTGGTCTTTCTTTGAGCACTTAGAAGGTGGGAAGCACTGTGCCAGGTGCCAGGGATACAATGGTGAGCAAGACAGATGCAGACCCAGCCCGCAAGCCTCCATGACATCATCTAATAATCCCACCCAAAGAACGTTACAAGCTGGGACAAGTGTTATCAGGGAAAGTACAGGGGTCCGGCCTAAACCCAGGAATCTGTTCTAGTGTGTGGTCAGGAAAGGCTTCCTGGAAATGACATGTGAAAGACGTTAGGTGAAGGAGGGTGAGATAGTATTTCAGAGACAGGGAACAATATGTGTAAAGACCCCAAGTGTCTGAGGACAGAAGAATCCAGGGTGGCTGTGGCTCTGAGGGGTGGGGGGATGACCGATGTAAGATGGGCAGGAAGGGTCAGGTGGCCACAAGCATGGGAGGCCCCATTCAGTATGTTGGTCTTCATCTGAACGGCACCGAGAGGCCATTGGAGGTTTTAAGCTAAGACATAACAAAATCAAGTTCACATTCTCTGTCTTTAATGTGGAAAACAGGCCTGAAAGGGGCCAAGGGAACTGGCAGGAAGCTTTGTAGAACTCCAGGAGACTAGCAATGGAGGTCACCTGGACACAAAGGGGCTGGGGTTAACTCTTTGTTTTCAGTTCTAATGAGCATGAGAGGTGACTTGGAAACAATGAACAATGAAGTCACACTCTCCTCTTCATCTCTTCATACCAGGGTCCCATTCAGCTGGGCCAGTCATAAGCCCTCAGCACCATCTTCCTTCCCCCCAAACCCTTCCATAGTTGCCATTTGTCATCTGTCTTTGTGATTCTTGGTTAATATCTGAGTGTGAGGAAGGCAGGGGTTGTAACTGCTTTTTCCTACTTTTTTCTTCAAGTGTCTAAGACGTGTCTGGCTCGCAATTGGTACTACGATGAATGAGTGAATGAATAAGAACAAAGCAGACTTCTCGAAGCAGAGATCCTACTGAGAGCCTATCTGGATGGGGCAGGAAGGTACAGGCGAAACCAGCGAGCACAATATATTGGTCCCTACAACAATGGACTGAAGCTAGCTATCTGGGGGACCTGCGAACAGTGGAAGGAAATGGCCCCAGCTGGCATCCATACCTGGTGGTGACGCCGGGATCCTGCACACATCATCGGCTTGGCACAGTCCCTTCCTTCGTCCCTGTGGCCACTCAATAAATATTTGTCACTTAACCTCTATGAACCCCACTCTCCTTCCCTGTCACACGGGGTTCATGCAGCCAGCTTTCTTGGATGAGGATAAAACTTCCTGAAAGGACTTTGGAAAGTAGAGGGCTCCATCTGTCCAGAGGTGAGATATGATGGCCAGGCCGGGAAGGAGGGGAGATGAGTGGAATGTCAAGAGTGTGAAGAAGGAGGCTGAAGATTGAGGAGACAGCAAAGATGAAATGCGAGACAGCCAGGGGCAGAGGGGTGGCAGCAGAAAACTAATTTTCCAGGCACATCCTCTGTCTTGGCTTCTCAGTTCATCAGAAGGGACGTGAGCCTGGGCCAGCCTCGCCCTGTCTTGAGTACAGCCACTGAGCACCGGTGCGCTTGTGTCTCTAAACCACCCTTGATGCTCATTTGTACTGGGAGCGCTACCTGGTGTTTTCATTTTGTTTTGTTTTCGGCTGTTCCAAGGGACTTCAACCCCAGGCACAGTTCTATGCGGCACATCCATAAATCCTCCCTCCTCTCTGCCAGCTTCCAGAGAGTCATAATGGGAGACAGAAGATGAACAAATAAATATGGAAGGGTGAAGGGCAATCAATTCAGTGACTCGCTCTCATCCATCAGTCCCTCCCTCCCTCGCCAGAGCCAAGCAACCTCAAGGTTGTTTTAGAAACCCACAAGCACACCAGTACTTTAATGACTGTACCCGGTGCGGGGCAAAGCTGGCCCAGCGCCCACTGCCTTGCTGACAGGCTGAGGAATCAAGACAGACCCTTTCCTGCTCTACAAAAGCACATCATCCAAAATAAAGAGCAAAAAGACCTAGATGTTAAAGTAAACAAGGTCTACACACACAACAACAACAACCTGCTTACTACTAGGGAATGGCTGCATAACAAGAGGAGCAGGTTCTAGTTAGAGGACTTGAGTTCAAATCCTGCCTCTACCAGTTGCTAGCTTTGCTCCTAAGCAAGCAGCCTAATCTTTTGGGCCTTCAGTTTCCTTAACTCTCAAATGGGAATCATAGCTACTGACTTGGTAGGACTTGGGAAAGAATTCAACCAATGAGTGTCAACTGGTGAGCATGGTGTCTGCTGTAAGAATGTAACTAAAGTTACCTATTGTTTTTTTAACAGATTACCATGCAGCCATGAAATAAGCTATTTTTCCCACTGGCATCTAAGATGTCCATGATCTGTTGTTAACCTGGAGATTTCAATGGTCGGGGTGAGGTGGGCTAGGAGGACAGGAGCATGACCCTGGGTCAAGAACATCATAGGTAATAAAACCTTCTACTGATGAGGGTGTCATATGTGTGATTTTCGCAGAGGTAGGAAGGAGATTGAAAACTACTGTGCTAATAAACAAGTGGATTATTAATATATCATAGTAATTTTACATCTTAATACAGAAATCAAATAGCTATCGGTATGTGTACAGACATATAAAAATATCTGAAGAGATATATACCCCAATTTAATAGTAATTGTTTAGGATGATGGAATTACAGGTATTTTTCTAGCCATTTTCTTTTCGATTTTTTCTTACACTGTCTAGTTTTATAATTGGCATGCTTTACTTCCATAATTACTTAAAACAAGTCTTTCTACATGGAAAAAAATACAGAATTTACCTTTGTTGAGGCACGATGAATGTTAATTTCTAAAATAAAATGCACCTTTGGATATTAAAGATATCCCTCACCAAAAATTAAGGGATCCTGGTGCAAACTTCAGATGCATATCTGGGGCCATGACCTGTGGTAGATGGTGGGGTTCAGATTCAGAGTGGGGTGCCACCGGATGGAATGGGGTAGTGACAGGGCGCCTGTTATATTCTGTGGCCTGGCTTCCTAAGGTCAGTCTGCTCTGGTTCCATTTTTTCTTATGCTTGGTTATTTCTTTTAATAGCAAAAACAACAAACAGTTGTTCTTGTTGTTATTATTATTAAGGCTTAATTTAACTGCAGTCCGTTTCTGTTGCTAGCAACTGGAGAATTCTGTGATGCACATTCAAAGGCAGTTTGACAAACGCTACCCAGGCCTTTGTTAGAGGAGATCAGCTAAAAAGAAGATACAACAAGCAGAAGTCAGAGCAGTGGCACGGCTGACGCCCGATGTCAGCTGTGGTGCTCCAAGTGCCTGTGCGTCTCCACCGATCTCCACCCTCACTTCCCACCACACCCCACGTTTCCTTCCAGGTGGGATCTGAATGAGACGGCTTTGTAAAGCTCTTCCACCGCCTCTCTTCTCTGAGGCCCAGGCCCAGTGTGTGAAGGAACCAAGGAGCTGGGAGGTGTCGGTGCGGCTGGAGCTGAGGGTTAGAAAAGACGTGGGGGCGAGGAGGAATGGGTGGCTCTCCGGTGTCTTAGGGCTGTGGCTGTGGCTGTAGGAACAGGCTGGGGCTGCTGGGCAGATCTCAGAGTGCCCAGCCCTCAAAGCCCTAATGGAAGAGATTAAGGATTAACCTGCTGTCCTGTGTGATCGGCTTTGACAGTCAGGGACACCAGGAAAGGATAAAGTAAGCCGACATGCTCTGGAGAGCCTCAGAGAACCTTGCCTCCCTCTCTCCTGGCCCCATTCACACCCAGGCCGCACCAGTTTGCGGGTTAGTGCTGGCCAGCCGGGGCCACCCTGGGCTGATGGGCACAGGTGGAAACTGTCTTTACTCCTCTAGTGTGTGACAAACCGTTATTCTTTAGCACCACAAGGCCAACGCCTGACGCTGACTTTGACTTTGCCTAGTGCGATCATCTCAGGACTTTTTGAGTAAAGATTTTTTTCTTAATGACATTACCTTAGTAAACTGGAGGTGCGATATGGTGGCTGGGGTAGGTGTGAGAGAGAGAGTACATGTATGTGAGTGAAAGTGTGTGTGAGTGTGTGTATGTGAGAATGTGTGTGAGTGAAAGTGTGTGTGAGTGTGTGTATGTGAGAATGTGTGTGCGAGTGTATGTCAGAGAGTGTGTATAAGAGTGAGAGTGTATATATGAGAATGTGTCAGTGTATATTTGTGTATGTGAGTGTGTGTGAGTGACTGTGTGTGAGAGGGTGTGTGAGTGATTGAGTGTGTGAGGGTGTGCGTGTGAGTGAGTATGTGTACATGTATGTGTGTGAGTGTGCATGTGAGTGAGTGTGTGTGAGTGTATGTGTGTGAGAGTGAGTGTATGTGTAAGAGAGAGTGTGTGTGTGAGAAAGTGTGTGTGTGAGAAAGTGTGTGTGTGAGTGAGTGTGCGTGTGAGTATATGTGTGTGAGTGTGTGTGCGAGTGTGTGTGTGTGAGAGTGAGTGTGTGTATGTGAATGTATATGTGTGTGACAGTGTGTGTGAGCGAGTATGTGAGAGTGTGTGTGTGTGTGTGTGTATGTGAGTGAGAGTATATGTGTGTGAGAAAATGTGTGTGTGTGTTTGAGAGAGCGTTTAGAAAGAGAATATATGTGAAGTTTTTTGGATGACGAGCATTCATTCCCCCTTCTGGTAAAAGTCACCCTCATTTCTCACTGGGAAACCATTGCATTTTCAATACAGATGGCTCTGCTGGGACTGAGCCTGCACTCGGGCTCAGAGGTGCTGTGTGTCCTAGGCCTGCGTCCAGGTCTGCTCCACCCCCTCCTACTGTGATCGGCTTCAGAAAAGACGCCTGACCCATGTCACTCCATCCAAGTCACCTGGCCTTTTGCTGGGACTCTCAGTAAAGAGGTTCTCTGTGCTCCTGGGGCTGCAGGGAACGAACCTGCCTAAGCAGGAAGCCGACAGACGAGAGCAAAGCCGAGTGTGTGGAGGAAGTTGCTCGTGCTGCTGCACCTTTGCATCTCAGGATGGAGCCACAGCTAAGCCAGGCCTCCTATGCCTTCAAGAGGCTGGAGCAGATAAAGCTCATTTTGAAACCGGTTTGAAGTAGGTGTCTGTCATCTGTAATCCAAAGACTCGTGACCAAGACAGACACTGACAGAAAAGTAATTGCATTTCAGATTCGGGAGAGGAAGAGACATTAGCTTCTCCATCACCGAGAGCAAAGGGAAAGGGGAGAGAGGAGGGGAGCAGACAGGCGGTGCTACCCTGACCCCTGCCTGGGGGTCTGTGCTGCAGGGGGTCCCAGGAAATGTGACCCAAAGACTTTCAAACTTTACTGAGGACTGTGGTAAACAATTCACACCTCACCTTATTTCCTGTCACCGAAATCTCAACATTAAACAGTCAGTAATTTCTCCAAGCCTAGATTCTCATCAGACTAAAAAAAAAGTGATTTCAAACAAACTGGCCAGTACAGAAGAAAATATAGGGTCACTGTAGATATAATGGTAATTGACAGAGACTTGTTAGCATGCTGATGACTTCTAATTTTCAAATTTAATTAATGGATAGAAATGACACTTTCTTTTCATTTATGTCATTAGTCAAATGAGCTTTCTAATTAAGATGAGCATTCTCAAAATTTATAAACTGGTGAATGACTTTAAACATGAACTATCGATAAGGTTCTGTCTGCTCAGAACTGGCTTTCAGAACTTGAAGAAAGGGCGGGGGTGGGGGGGGGCAGGGATTCATTTCATTTCCTGGCAGTTTCCAGACAGAAATTTTGTAAAATGTATTCGAGTTATTCACTGCCATACCCTCATCGTGATTCCAAATCGCATTTCCACTTTCCATTAAATGCAACCGAAAAATTACATCACATCAGGCAAAGCAGTAAGTTTGGCCCTCATTGCCAATAATTGGTACTGCTTATAAAATGTAAAGGAAAAACTTAAATTTGACAAGTGTAAAAATGAACCCAACTTCTAAAATAGATTCGCATAGAAATTTCACTGAGGAAATGACATGTAAAATGAGTCCATGGCCAGACTCAGCAAATATCATAAAGACAAAGGCTGTTTACTATGAAAAACCAATTGGCAAGCTAATCAATAAGGTTTTCCCAGGGTCTAATTGTGGTCTTGCTCCACTCCCCAAGAAAGGAGGAGTCACGTGCTCTAGTCGGAGTGGAAGGAAGAGCACCAATGTTTCTGATCTGAAATAATTTGCTCCCTAATAATTTTAAAAAGAAAGTAATCCATTGTGAAAAATTCAGTTTGTTGGATTTCCTTACACTTATTTTAGAGTTTATTGTTATTACTTTGAATTGCATATGACAACATCCCATAAGTTTTTCCATGCTTAGAGGATAGTTTCTAATGCTTTTAAGCTAGTCTTGACAATGGGTAAGACATTTGAGGCACAGGATTCCAAACACAGAGAATATTTGGATCATATGAAATAGATTAATATAAAGTAAAATGTCTTTCAATGACCAAATAATCATTTTTGAAAATGTGTATGTCAGTTAAACATTGCCAATAGGAAGGCATGGCATGTCCACTTGCCATTAATGATGTACCAATGATAGCCAATATTCACATTATGTAAGAATAATTACTAAATTTAAAGTAAAATGATATATATTTAAATTGTACACATGATTTTTTAGGTTACAATGTGAATATTTTATGTACATATATAGTGAAATGATTACCATGATCAAGCTAATTAACATACCTACCCATCACCTCAGTTAACATTTTCTTTTTATTTAGTATCTACTCTCTCAGCAAATGTCAAGTTTATAATAGTGTCATTACCTCAGTCATCATGCTGTACACTAGATCCTCAGAACTTACTCATCTGAAAACAGAAAGTCTGTACCCTTGACCAACATCTTCCATTCGTCCCCTTGTAACCACTGGCAACTGCCATTCTTAAATTTACAAGTAAATAAATATTTAATGCTAAAAAAAAGTACTAGTGGAATTCCAAATTCTCTTTACTAATAAATAAATCACTGAGGTTTAAAGGTGAAAAATTACTTGTAATATATATTCAAGATATATTCTCTCACATCTAAGTTTTCTCCTGAGAATAGTGGTGCATTTTGGACGGTGTTCTAACTTGCAAAAAGAACTCACAGCACCATCTTAATAGTGAGGAGAGTAAGATAGTGAATGCACTGTCCTTAGGAGATGTTAACATCCTTCAGAAAGGCTGTACGTGGAGGGAACAGGCTCCTGACTCACTTCAAGTGATAGCTGTGGCATTTAAAGAGTGTGACCTTGAGTAATTGACATGGCCTCCCTGAACCTCAGTCTCTTCATCAGTAAAATGGAAATAATATCAGGACCTAACTCTGAAGACTGCTATAAGGATTAAGCAAGAAATTGCATGTACAGCACTCAGCACAGGGCTGGGTATAAAAATCAGCTGGTAAACAGTTGCTTCTTTTACAGTTCTCCCCAAATAAAATACAATTATTCCTTAACACTGTAACCAATCACCCACCGCTTTGCCTCAGGAGCAGTGGTCCTATGGAAGGCCAAGGCTGCTGCTCCCACTGAGCCTGGGCTGCAGGCCTGAGCAGTCCCGCCATCCTTCCTCATGGTGCCTTACCTCATAGTAACTCTGAACGGCGTTCATGAAGGCCTCGTCAGCCACGATCTGAGTTTCCCCATTGAGGAAAGCCTGGAAGCGGTCCTTGACGGTCTGCAGCTGCTGTTTGCTGATCTGGAAGAAACAGAGGGAGAGGAAGAGTGAGCACTTGTTCCACCCAAGGATCATGGTTCTTTACACTGAAGATGCCAGGCCCGTTGGTGGGCCAGAGCCGGCCTGCACAGCATGTGAGAGCTGAATGCTAAGTTTGCAGGAATTGTGTGAGGCAGTTGTTAAACACAGCCATTTTAAACATTAATATAAATTACAGTTAAATAAACATATTAAAGTCAAAGTTAATACATACTCAACATTCATTGCTTTTTTTATTATGTTATCACATTTTACTATGATCTGTACTTTTGAGGTTATTTACATGTATGGTGTGTATTGTAGAGATGATATATATGGGCTACTACCCCATGTCTCTCCTCAACTCCACATTCAGTGACATGTTATTGGAAGCTAGAGATCAGCCAAGGTGGGAGTAATTACAGCATGGAAACTGGCAACCGCTGCAAGTCAGGGCTGTTTGTGTGTTTTAGAGATGGCTGTTCCACACACCACTGCACAGGCGCCTCGGGTGGTCTGAAATGCCCTGCTTTACAAAGCTATAGTGGCCAAATGTATAGTGCTGGCATTAAAACAGACACGTAACCCAACGGAACCGCACTGAGAGCCCAGAGGTAAACCCACGCATATATGGTCAACTAATATTTGAAAAGGGAGCCAGGATACTCAATGGGTAAAAGATGATCCCTTCAATAAATGGTTTGTAAAAACTGAATATTCACATGCAGAAGAATAAAATTGGGTCCCTATCTTAACCACTCACAAAAATTAATGCAAAATAGATTAAAGACTTAATTAATTAATCCCCCCAAACCTGGAAAACTACTGGAAGAAAACAGGAAAAAAGCGCCTTAACATTGTCTTGTTAGTGGTTTTCTGACAAGGAAAACACAAGGAACAAAAGGGAAAACAAACAAGTGGAACTACATTTAACTAAAAAGCGACAACATGGGAGGTGGGTCCAAAATGGTGGTGTAGGTGGGTGCTGAGCGCACCGTCTCCCAAGACCATATTAAACATATGCCTATATTTTGAGCAATTCTTCCTGACAGACAACTATGAGCCAATCAAACAGCTTCTGCACAACAAGCAAGAGAGAGGGACTGCATAGAGAAGGTCAGGAAACCATGAAAGCTCTCCAGGAGCTGAGGAAACAACCCAGAACAAGAGGGACTGGTGCGCGCCATTATTTACATTTTGTCTGAATGTGGATAGTGGGTGGAAGTCCCTCCAGCTTCTCTGGCTGATTTGCAGAGCACTGTGGCATGTCCCCAGGCACCCCTCTTGGAACCAGAACAAGCAGAAATAAGGGGGCACCATAGCACACACTGAGATCCACACACAAGGGGCTCCCCCACCTGAAAAAAGTGGAGTGCTGACACAATGCTGTGGTGCACAGCTGCAGGCTTCCTCATCCAGAGCAAGTGCTGAGGTAGTGGGCACTGCTGCGTGCCACAAAGAAAGTGTGGAGCTAGCAAACCCTTGTGGTACCCACACTCAGGGGTGCCCTCTGTGGAGTAAGTGGGGTGTTGCTGTGCACACACAAGGCTGCCCCTGGGGAGAAAGGGCAGAGCTAGTAGGGCACTGAGAAGCAGGTATGCAGTAGTGCACCCAGACCATGTTCTGACTGCGAACAATTAAAGCCACAGGGCACACAGGCAGGGATGGCCATGTTGAATGAGGGGCATGACTGAGTACATGAGGAGCTGTACTCCCTAGAGAGGGAATAGAACTAGTGAAGTGCAGCCATGCACACAGAACAGACCTGTCTCATCCAGAGAGGACAAAGCTGGTGGAACATTGAGCTAAAAAAGTACCCCTGCCCAGACCCTGCCCTGATCACAGACAGTTAAAGCAACAGGGCATGCTAAGAGCACACCTAGCAGCTCCCTCTACATCCACACCAGATGTGGAAGGCAAGGAAGCAAAACGCTCTAGGTTGCTTCACCTGGAACCCACTCCTTCAGACCAGAGGTCATATCAGGCACCTCAAGCACCCATTCCAACTAGCCAGCTTGCCCAAACTGTCCAAATCAGAGCCTACACAGAGACCACTTTTTCAGGACTAGGAGGACAGCTATTTTAGCCACATCATAGAAACTCAAACAATGGGGAAACAGAGGAATATGCTCCAAATGAAGAAACAAGAAAGAAGCCCAGAGAAAAAACCCCAATGTAAAGGAGATAAGTAATAAAGAATTCAAAGAAATGGTCATAAGTATGTTCAAAAAACTTGAGAGTACATAGAAGAATACAAAGAGATAAAAAATGTAATGAAGAACCGATCAAAAGAAAACCATATCTAAAATGAAGAACATATTAAAAGGAATCAATAGCAGATTAGTTAATATGGAAGAATGAATTAGCGACCTTGAAGACAGATTAGTGGGGGATCACCCAATCAAAATAGAAAGCTAAAAAGAGAATTTTAAAAAATGAGGATAGTATAAGAGATCTCTGGGATAACATCACTATCATTTCACATAATAGGGATTCCAGGAAGAGAAGAGAAAGAGAAAGAGAAAGGGTCAGAAAGAATAGCTGAACAAATAATGTTTGAAAACTTTCCTAATCTGGGAAAGGGAACAAATATCCTGGTCCAGGAAGCACAGAAAGTTCCAAAGAAGATGAACCCAAAGAGACCCACAACAAGGCATATTGTGATTAAAATGGCAAATGCTAAGGATAAAAAGACCATCTTAAAGGCATCAAGAATGAAACATCAAGTCACATACAAGGGAAACCCCTTAAGGCTATTAGCTGATTTATCAGAAGTGACTTTATAGGCCAAAAGGGAGCAGTGGTTGATAGTCCTGAAAGAAAGGAATCTACAACATAGACTATTTTATCCAGCAAGGTTACCAGTCAGAATCGAAGGAGAGAGAGTGTCCCAGACAAGCAAAAACTAAAGGAGTTCCCAATCACTAAGCTAGCTTTATAAGAAATGTTTAATGATCTTCTTTATCCAGAAAAAAAGGGCCATAACCAGACATAAAAATAAAAAAAATACAGAAAAGGGGGGAAAATCTCACTGATAAAGGCAAATCTATAATAATAAAAGCGTAATATGCTAATTAGACCAGATAGCTGAACAACCTTTCAGACATCATTCTGGACTTCCTTCCAGATGAAGCTTCAGTGGCAGGGGCCAAGGCAAAGGTGGTTAGGGGCAACCAGGCAGGCAGGCGAGCAGTTAGGGGCAATCAGGCAGGCAGGCAGTGTGGTTAGGGGCAATCAGGCAGGCAGGTGAGTGGTTAGGGGCGATCAGGCAGGCAGGCAGGTGAGCGGTTAGGAGCCAGCAGTCCCAGATTGCAAAAGGGATGTCCGACTGCCAGCCTAGGCCTGATCCCACAGGGATGATCAGGCCTAAAATGGAAGTCAGACATCCCCCAAGGGTCTCGGATTGTGAGAGAGTGCAGGCCGGGCTGAGGGACCCTCCTCCCCCATGCACAAATTTCGTGCACTGGGTTTCTAGTATATAATAATCACAGTGAATTAACTACTTAAGAAACTAATATGAAGGTTAAAAGACAGTAGTAGCAAAATTAGCTATAACTATAATAAATAATCATTGGATACACAAAACAAAAAGATATAAAACATGACATCAAAAACATAAAGAGTAGGAGAAAAAATGTAGTGCTTTTCGAATGTGATTGAACTAACATGCCTATCAGCTTTAAGTAGACTGCTATAGATATAGATGGATATATATGAACCTTATGGTAACCATAAACCAAAACTAAATAAAAATACACAAAAACTGGAGAGAAAGGAATCCAATTAAAAGGCACCATCATTGATGGACCTAGAAGGTATTGTGCTAAGTGAAATAAGTCAGACTGAGAAAGATAGACACTGTATGATTTCACTTTTATATAGAATCTAAAAAACAAAACAAATGGACAAACAAAACAAAACAGAAACAAACTCACAGATACAAAGAACAAACTAATGTTTATCAGAGGAAAGGGGATTGGAGGGATGGCTGGAAAAAGGGAAGGGGATTAAGAAGTACAAGACTCAAGTTACAAAATAAGTCATAGAAATGTAATGCACAGCATAGGAAACAGAATCAATAATACCATAATAACTATATATGGTGACAGACGGTTACTAAACTTATTATGGTGACCATTTTGTAAGGTATGTAATCATTGAATCATTATGTTGTACACGTGAAACTATTATAATATTACTTATCATATTATATGTCAACTACAATTAAAAAATAAATTTTAAATAAATGCAAAACCTTTCCATGTTCAACTTTAAAAAAAGCTTCTGCACAGCCAAAGAAACCACACCACCAGCCACATGAAAAGGCAGCTTATGGAATGAGAGAAAATATTTGCAAACTATCTGATAAGGAGTTAATATCTAAAATACATGAAGAACTCATACACTGTATAATAAAAACAATCGGATTTAAAAATTAGGAGAATTCTAAATAAACATTTTTCCAAAGAAGACATACAAATGGGTACTTGACAAGGAATTCAACATTGTCTGGGAAATGTAAATCGAGACCACCAGAGGATATCACCTCACACCTGTTAGAATGGCTAGTATCAAAAAGGCAAGAAGTAACAAGTGTTGTCCTGCATGTGGAGAAAAGGGAACTCCTGTGGAAAACAGCATGGTGGCTCCTAAAAAATTAAAAATAGAACCACCACATGGTCCAGCAATCCCACATCTGGGTCTATAGCCAAAGTAAGTGAAAATGGGTCTCAGTTCCAAAAAGAGTCTGTGGCAGCCCTATGTTCAGTGCAGCATTATTCACAATGGTCAAGATATGGAAACAACCTAAGTGTCCGCCGACAGATGAATACATAAAGAAGATGTGGTTATATATACAAGTCGATGTTATTCAGCCTGGGAAGGAAAGGAATCCTGCTGCTTCCACAACTTGGATGAAACTTGAGGGCCTTATGCTAAGTTAAAAAAAAGTCAGAGAACAGGAAATACAGGATGATATCATGTACATGTAGAAACTAAAAAAA